ACACCATCCCACTCAGATGGCTGTCCAGTTTCTTTTTGAATGTCTCTTATGGGGAACATCCCACGATCTCTCTAGGCAACCAGTTCCACTGTTGTATTGCTCTGACAGTGAGGAAAATTTCCCTGATATCTATCCTAAATCTGGATTGCTGCAGCTTGAATTGATTATTCTGCGTCCTATACTCTGGTACCAGCAAGAAGAGATCTTGATATTCCTTTTTGTGACCTTTGAGGTACTTATAGAGTTATACCATGTTCTCCTCTCAGTCATCTCTTCTCAAGGCTAAACACGCCCAGTTTTCTCAATTTCTCCTCATAGGGCAGTGTTTCCAAACCCTGGTTAATTTTTGTTGCCCTCCTCTGGACCCTTTCTAATTTTTCTGCATCTTTCTTAAATCTTGGTACCCAGAACTGGAATCAGTATTCCAGATTAGGTCTGACTAGTGAAGAGTACAGGGGAACTACCACTTCTCATGGTTTGAAAGTAATACTTGTATTGTTGTTGTTGTTAGTCATGAACTCATGTCCAACCCCATCGCAACATTCCTCCAGGCCTTCCACCATCTCCCAGAGTCCACTTAAGCTCACACCGACTGCTTCAGTGATTCCATCTAGCCACCTCATACTCTGCCATCCCCTTCTTCTTTTGCCATCTATTGTTCCCAGCATCAGAGTCTTCTCCAGGGAGTCCTTCCTTCTCATTAGGTGGCCAACGTATTTGAGTTTCATCTTCAGTATCTGCCCTTCTAAAGAGCGGTCAGGGTTGATCTCCTCTAGGACTGACCGGTTTGATCACCTTACAGTCCAAGGGACTCACAGGAGTCTTCTCCAGCACCACAATTCAAAGGCCTCAATTCTTCGGTGCTCATCTGCTGGGTCACAATCTGTTAGGCTACCCCAATATAAGTAATCTTCTGGCAGGTTGGTGCTTTCCTTGCCACTTTTTCTGAAGAAGTTCTTAAAGAGAGTATTATCTATTCTCCAGGTGTTGACTCCAGTACAGTTCTGGCTACCCTTCTAAGTGGTGTTGTAGCAGAGAGATGCCTGGTTACTCTACTAAGGGTGGGAGTGGGTGTCATTGAGTCACAAGACCTCAGGGTAATTGTAGACAGTAGGCTAAATATGAGCCAACAATGCAATGGTGCTGCATAAAAGGACAAATGCTACCATGCTACTTTGGGACTCATTAATAGAAGTATCCATAAGGAAGGCTGAGCGTTGAAGAACTGAGGCCTTTGACTTGTTGTCCATGGGGTTGCAATGGGCCGGACGTGACTTTGCAATAACAAGATGTTTTGGCCTACCATTTCCCTCAGTCCTAATCAGCCTAGGCAATCGTGAGGGTTCACTGGAGTTGTAGGTCAAAACTTCTGCAGGGCCACAATTTGCCTTGCAGCTGACATGTCTCTACCCAGTTCCATAGTGAGCTCACCATGGTCCTGACCGTTTAGACCCAGCTGGACTCTATCCTGCTCCCCAGTAAAGGTAACCATGTTCCTGCTTTCCTGCATGAGGCTCTTGCCAAACATCATTATGAGCCCCTGAGGACTTCAGCATGGAACATTGTGCTCATTGTAAAACTGTTGTATAAACACTTTCCTAGGTATCTCCATATAATTCCCATACAATCCTCATACTTACTGCATCAATTTGGTCATGCGGAAACTGAAAATGTTACTTTCACCACTGCGATGAATAATGGCAAGTTTCATACCCTTCAGCCATATTGCAAAGCAGATCCTACTATGTGACTCAGGGCCATCCTACACAGAGTCTATCCATGATCCTACCATGAAGTAACTACCTGATAGTTCTGGTTCCCTGAATTGCCCAAGTAGTGGAAACAAGAAAGCTGACCCTTGTGGTGAGAGAGTCACCCAGCAACTCTACCTGGGCTCTTATATAAGTAATTATTTGTCTTAAAACTCCCTGTACCATCGACAGCAACAATCATGTGTTTGTTGCTTGTAGCTCACTTTTGTACTTGTATATGTTATTTTCTTGTAAGAGTGCTGAATAAGAAGGATTTAATCTACAATTCTGTCAGTGCTCTGGGAGGTGGAGGGGGACATAGAAAGATCAGCATGGCCGCTGGTACTGAACAAATGGATGTGTGAGTAGTATCAGAAACTCATTCAGTTGCCTGTACTGAGTCAGGTGTATCTTTCTGTGCATGAAAGAGCTTGAGACAAAACAGTTTCTCATAGGAGTTTCTTCAGGCAGATTATTCAGTGCTGAGCATTAAGCCAGTTGTATGGAGATCAGCATCAAAAGCAACGTACTATGTTACACTGTGCAACATTTCTGTCTCACTATCTGATTTTTCCAGGTTGCCATAAAGAGAAGCAGAAATCAGCACATGGAGACCACAATTACTAGATCAAGAACTGGGCAGGTTACAATGATGTATTGTTATTGTTGTTTATCTATTGTGGTGTTTTGTTGTTTTATATTGTTAAAACATTTTATTGTTGTAAATCACCCAGGGAGCCAGGTTTCTAATGGGGCAGATTAGATATCTAATAAACAAACAAATAAATGAATAGTTTCATGCACTGAAGTCTACTTTTTAGAGAAAGATGATGATGATGATGATGATGATGATAACATTTCTATGCCGCCCCTTGCCAAAGCCTTGGGGTGGCTTACAACACAATAAGATACATTGAAATACAATAGAACATAATAAATTACCACTAAATACAAAAATACAAAAAATACACTGAGATACAATAATATAAAATTAAAATTAACAGTATAAAATAAGTAAATAAAGAATATAGGAGGAGAAAAGAGAAAGAAGAAGAAGTTGCCCTGGCCAGATCATATATTTTAACAATTAAAATGATGTTTAAATAAAAAGGTCTTTACCTGGCGCCGAAAAACCAGTAACGACACATAAGCCTAAAGCAGACAGCAGGTTACGTGAGAGCTGGTTAAATTAAAGGGTTACTTACCCTTGCATAACCCACACTCAGAAGGCTCACAAAAAACATCAGCTCCTTAGTAGCCATTGCATATTCCAAATAACTCAAACTGAGGCTGCAGAAAAGTGAGACACAATGTTAAATAATCATTGGTGAGTTGCCAAGTCATGTGAATAAACCTGTTATCGCTAAAAGTTAAGAGCCAAATTTTATAGCTTGCTTTTGATTCAAGGAGCACAAGACAACATTGTATGGCATGCCAGAGTTTTTTGTCTTATGTGAGTTGTGGGGCTCCATGTTTTTCCAACCTTATTTGGATTATATCTACTTTGTAACAATATGCAACTACAACATGAGCTGGACTACTGTGAAAGGGCAAATGTATATTAGATTTGTATGTATATTATTTCGAGCCTTTAATCAAATTCTTCCATTTTGCTTGGCCAGTTGATTTCATTGCTTCTGGATGAGTGGGGATTAGTGATAAATTACTCCTTAATTGTCTCTTAAATAGGCTCTCTTAATTGTCCTAACCAGTTTCTGCTCCCACAGTGGAACAGGATTTTACTATGACTTCCCTCTCTTTTGGTTCCTTTCACTTTTTTTTATTTTTTAGCAGAATGGCACCTGTTTTCCTATAAAAAGTGAAAAACAGATGAAAAGAAATTAATCATTGCAGTATCTCAACTCTCTCTCTCTCTGTCTGTCTCTTGGGAACAGAAAATGAGTTTGAGACAATTAAAAGTATCTATGCAAAAGGTAATTTTGCAAATTCAGGCTTTCCCAAACTGCTGCCCTTCAGACTAGCTTCCATCATCCTCACTCAATGGACCTTGCTAGTTGGAAATGATGAGAGTTGTAGCCCAGCTCATGGGGGAACCTGGGTTAGAGAAATCTGAGCTCTGAGTTAGAGAAATTCCCCACCTGCCTTCATCAGAAAGCAATAAAATAGGCTGAGACCAGAAAGAAGACACTTGAACCAATGCTACTGAACAGTGTAACAGAACTGGGACTGACTTATGAAAAAAGATAAATAGGTTGGATGATCTTGGCTAGGGAGAAAGTATTCTTGAATAAGATGACACTTTGTTAAATACTTGTGTGAAACTTCCATCACTTCCACTTCCTGTTGACAGTAGTGTCTCCTTCCAGAACAGATTCTTACAGAAGTGTAAGGCATTTAAAGTGTGTTTCTTTTCTACAATCCCCCAGCCGGTTCGCCTCTATGTTTAAAGGAATTTTTCAAATATATCTCCCAAACTTCATAATAACAAAATCTCTCTCTTCTAATTTGTTATTTCTTGGTTCTCATATGTAATGCCACTTTGGCTTATTTCATTTGCAGTGGTTATACGTAGTTTTACAAAAAAAAAAGCTAGAAAATAAGAGGATTGTAGCGATTGGATGAGGGTTGTAAATTTTTTAAAAGCTATGTTTTCCAGTGAACTGTATACACTGCAACAAACCAAATCAGATTCTTTACTAGTAAATGGATTGTAGCAGAAAATGATAATTCCTTGCGGCATATGATGAGAAACACGACTGTCATCCCCTTTTTGCAGCAGTTACTTTCCGGCAATGCTTTGCGATGCTGGAGGACGTCAGAGCAGGATTTTAGTGCAGTATGTTAGACCCTGAGGGCAGTGCGGAGCACAAAGTTGATCATTGCTTCCCCAGAGTTTTCCTCCTCCTTTTAGCCATGCTGATCGTCCTAGGAGCAATAATCTTTTTGGCATTCTCTGCCTCTGAGCAGAAAGAGGACGATTTTTATTCCTTTAAAGTGGTCAATATCAGGGGCAAGCTCGTCTCCCTGGACAAATATAGAGGCTCGGTAAGTTTGCAAAGAGGAGGTCGGCTACACAACTAACCAGCAAGACATCTCGGCATGCCTGCATGACGGACGGGGTGGGAGAGTGCACTTATTAAACTGACGCGAAGATTTTAGCGACGATGATCTTTCATCTTGAGCATCCTGTCTCGCGTTTCTTTGGCTTGGCGTCTGTGGTTCTTCTGTCTTGCTTTATTAAAAAGTTTCCTTTTCTGCTTGATTGGTTTGAGTCTGTTTCTTTAGAGCATCTTCTCTTGTGTATACGTGGCAGGGAGGCAAGATCTTCTCATTGTCTTGCATTCGCGCAGCACTGCTGCATTGATTCCTGACAATGAAGGCACATGCTTGGAACCCATGTGGTCTATTCTAAATATTTTCAGACTGTATTGCAGCCTATTTCCTTTTAAACATAAAAAAATATTTAACTGCGACCAAGAAAGAGATGGGGAAGGAGGAAGTTTTAATATTAGTTGGCAGGCAAATTCAGCCAGATAGCTCAACTAATTTGTAATTTTATAACTGCATAGTGCTATTAGTGCAGCTCCTTTGGATTCTTACATTTTAGAATTTAACGAATTACATGCAGTTTGTAATTTTATATCAGTATCAAGTTCTAAAATGTAAGAATTCAAAGGAGATGATTAATTCCCAGTAATGCCTTTCAAATTTGTCCTTTCAGATATTAGAGATGCTATTAATATCCCTTTCCTAAAGACTTTAACTTAATTAAAAGTGTAGGGAAGTTTTTACTGAACAGTAGAAAATAAGCATATTATTAACAGTATAGTATAAGCAGTAATATTGTTAATAAGGAATGGCCATCTGGATAATATTAAGCCATTTGTACTGACTGCCAGGCCATGTCCTCCTTCAACTCTGAAGTGCTGGTATTAACATTCAGACAGTCTTCCATGGCTTGGGGCAAGGTAACCTGAAGACTTTCTCTTCCCATATATACCTGCTTTCTTTTTCTGGGAATCCCTTCTGAGAATCCCTGCCAAAAGAACTGAGGTGGACACCTTTTTTAAAAAGGGCCTTTTCTGCTGTGACAATCCAGTTGTGCAATGAGCTTCACAGAGAGGCTTGCCTGGTGCCTGTATTGAGATCTTTATAGCACCAGGTAAAGGCCTTCCTGTTTTCCCAGAAATGTTGATCTTTCAGTTTGTTTTACCCTTAATTGTACTTTAAATCTTTGCATTACTGCCAGGGTTTCCTTTGACTTTTACTTCTATTTGATATTGTAGTTTTAAACTTACATAGTGCCGTATCTCTGGTTTTAATTGTTGTGAACTATCCAGAGAACTGTAGCTATTGGACAGTATACAAATGCAATAAATAAATAAATACCAGTCTCCACTAAGACATTGGTGCTTTAAAGGTGTTGACACACTCTGCTAAGAAATTCTTCAAACAAGTAGGTGTGTTAGTCAGTTACAACAAAAATCAGAGTCCTGTGGCACTTTAAAGACTAACTTATTATTTACTTTTATTATTGCATGTGCATCCTGCCCTTTTCCTCTTGTCAGGAATCCAAGGGAGCTCACAGCCTTCCACCTCTCTATTTTATCCTCACAATTTTGTAAAGTAGATTAGACTAGACTAAGAGATTGACCCAAAGAAACCTATTGAACTTCATGGCAGACTGGGGACCAGAACTTGTGACCCGTTAAGTGCTAGTCCAGCAATCTGATGGCTACACCACACTGGCTATTACAGCATAAGATTTCATGGACTAAAGTCTACTTCATCAGAAGGTTGAACTATTATTCTGAGATACACACATACACTTAATTGTGCATATGTATGTAGCATATGGGAGGGCAGGCGTGGAATTGTAAATTGTACTCCCAGAGCAAAATGAAATGAAGGTAGAATGGACCTTATACTTTAGACTAGGGCAGAAAACCTCTTTTAGCCTGAGGATCAAATTCAATTTCAGAGAAGCTCCAGTGGTGGGTGGAGTCAAAGGCAAATGGGGGTGTGGCCAAAAAATACCCGCACACAGTCATTTAAAGCTCTTCTTGTCATTAAGCCATTTCAAAGTTTTAGAATTGGGGTGAGGGCACCACAAAAGAGAAAATTAGTGGTTGAGGGAGGGATATGCAGTGCCATGGGAAGAGGAAGAGGCTATCTGAAAAACCCTGGAGGGTTGGAGTAGGATCCTAGAAGGGCTAGATTGAGCTTACAGGCCTGAAATTTCCTATCCTTGTTAGAGGCAGTAATAACTAAGTTATTAGTGCTTAGTATTTAAAATATTATAATTCTGCTGCATCAACTACCATGTACTTGTACAGCTATTAATTTCAATGGGCTTGCATAGGAGAAGTTTGTGGGTTGCACAGCAACTAAGTAGGAATATAAGAATAGTATGGAAAATTACTATACCTGCCCAGCAACAGATTTTAATGAACTACTAACAGAATTATGGCTATTCAGTCAATAAAGATTGATAAAGCAGATGGAACCCAGCTTTTATAAATCAGTATAGAATACCATAATGCATATAAATAAAAATACACCTAATAACAGTAGAAAAGAGTAAAAAACAGAAGTATATAGGCTTTGTGCAGGCTCACATACATGCCCAACTACACCAAAGAGTTTCTGTGGAGCAAAAACACTTGAAATAAGATGAATTCTGGGTGTTAAAATTGAATATACATGAACTGTACTTCAGGATTTATTTAAGAACTCACACAAAATAAAAATACAGGATTGTAATTTGTGTGCATGACCATGACAGAAAGCATTGTAAGTTATTTAATTGTTATATTTATATTCCTCTTGGAATTATATTATATTACCATACCAAGCAGGTAAGAACACATAAACCCATTCCTCTATCACCTTAATTGGCTACCAATTAAAGTCCAGGTTTGCTTTAAGGTGCTTATATCGACATATAAAGCCCTAAACGGCTTAGGGATTTATATAAAGGAATCTCTCCTCCCATGTATACCTACCAAGACTCTAAGATCATCTATGGAGGTCCTTCTCTGGGAGCCACCTTTAAAAGAAACAACGAAGGTGGGCATAAGAGGAAAGGCCTTCTTGGTTGTGGTGCACCAGCTGTGGAATCAGTTCCCTAGAGGGGTGCACCTGGTACCAACCCTTTCTACATTTTGGTGCCAGGTGAAACCCTTTTTATTTTCCTGGTATTTTAACTGCTAAATATGATTATCAAATCTTACACTGGTTTTTATTCATATTCTCATTGGTATTTTGTGGAATAATTATTATTCCACAAAGTACATTATTATTGTTATAGTTACTGTTATTAATATGCTTTTTATTCTTTGTGATGTAGTGAATTTTGATGGACTGTTGCTGTCTTATTGACACCAAAGTCATTTATATTATGTCATGTTTTTATATAGTTTTTTATTCTCGTTGTACACCATTCAAAGAGCTCTCTGATGAATGATTGGGATATAAAAGATATAAATAAATAAGTAAATAAATAATTACTCCTTTCTTCTGCAAGGAACCTAACGCAGCTTACATATCCCCGCTCTTGCTTTTCTCTATTTTATTCACATAACAGCTCTGTCAGATTGGTTAGGCTGAGAGTTGGTGATAGGCCCAAAATTACCCTGTGGCTGAGGGCTGTCTAGAACCAGCAACACTCCCAATACTCCAACCACAACACCACAGCTGCAACATTTATCCAGTGTGCCAATGCAAACACTCTAACCAGTATTTGGAATTCAGCTCTTTATGGTATAGAAAAGGTGCATTATAGTAAATAGCAGGATACAAGCCATCCCATTGCATTTCAATAGCCATTCTGTAGGGTATTCCTTTTTTTCTGAATAACCAATTGTTCTCTTTGCTTACACAGTGAATTCTGTGTCCATTCTAATGGAAATTCTGATTAGATACATTCTCATGGCCTTCTGGATGGAGAAAATGTATATGAAAGGGCATTGTGCTTCCTTAATTTTAGCATGGTGCTTCTAAACTATTTTAGGGAAGTCATATGGCAGCTACACAGCATCTGGGAAGCCATAGAAGAGTTTGGACTCCCAACTCCAAGTTCTCCAGAGCACCAGCCTTGGAACTGGGAATAAGAGTTCTGATCCCCTCTCCCTTCGCAGCTGTCATGTAATGAACTTTGCTGTTTGCCCCTCCAAGGCTGGGGAGGCAACCTCAGAGTGGGGTAACAGGAGTATTGAGGGAGGAGACTGGGGCAACCAAGATCCGAGATGTCCTGTACTCTTTCCAGAGTCTTTCCCTTGCCTCTGAAACAGCAGCACTAGACAAACAATAAGAGCTGTCTGCTGCAAATGCAGCTCAGATGGAGCAGGGAAACAAAGATGGCTGCCAAAGCTCTTTCTGCTCTGCATTAAAGGAATGTAAACCTCCAAGTTCAGAAGCTCCTTCTTGTGTCAACTGGATTGTGCCCTAAGCCTCTGCCTATATTTCCATTACACGGACGCCTAAAGTTTAGAGGCATTTTTTACAAATGGCTGTCAAAGAAGATGCAGCAGCAATTGGTACTGAGAAACCCATATTTTTCTGCACACAAATATGGCACTCCCAATGGACAGCATAAAAATGTCATTTTTATCTAATTTATCTAGTTCTGAGTTTTGAAAACTCAGTTATGCTACTGCCTATTTTAATACTAACTTACACACTAACATTCGATGGGTGGGTTTCCCTGACTCAACAAGCCATGGGGTGGGTTTATTTTACCACCATAGTTGTTCTATTTTGCAGTCTGAACCCTGTTGTGGTATTTCAGTGTGGTTCATTTGGTCTTTAGAAAGCATTAAGAGAAACACCAGTTTATTCTATGGTTTCTTGGCAACACAATGGCTTGTTGTGTCCTCCAAACTCAGAAAACGCAACCCAGCTAAAGTACTTTGGCATAGGAGTAGGTGATCAGCGGGACGATGCAGAGGAAAGGAACAGCGCTGTTCTGCTGATTCTTCTGTTGTCCTTCTCCAGAACGTGCTCTGGAGGGAAGCCCTTCATGTACATACAGGGGATGGGGTATG